ATATATATATATATATATAAGTTTTCATAAGTTTTAATTTTTAAATATATATATATATATATATATATTTAAAAATTAAAACTTATGAATGTTATAACATCAGAACAAAAATAGCCATTTACTTTCAACACTTCAGATGTCTTGTTAAGTGATAAGTTGAAAGCAAAATAAAAAGTTTATATATATATATATATATATATATATATATATATATATATATATATATATATATATATATATATATATATATATATATATATATATATATATATATATATATATATATATATATATATTTATATATATATATATATATATATATATATATATATATACATATATATATATATATATATATATATATATATATATATATATATATATATATATATATATATATACACACACACACATATATATATATATATATATATATATATATATATATATATATATATATATATATAATAAATTTATTCAGACATCACGAGCGAGATTAATACAAGTTACCTTTGGACTCTACAATTACAAGAAATGCTCAAAATGCTGGCCTTTAGCATCCAGACATTTATGAGTACGGCGAACTACTGCTTGTGCAACGTTGGCCGAAATGTCCAATGGGATTGCTGCATATGCATTTTCAATTTCTTTTCTAAAGGTCGCCAAAGTCAGATTTCTGCGATACACAACATCCTTCAGGACTTGTTGATGTTACAGCCATTAGAATATTGTCATCTGCCGAGAAAGTACTTTAGTAAAGAGTTTTATCGCAATTTGATAAGACTACGAAAGAAAAGTTTTTCTTTTCCTGAAGTGCGTATATGTTCTTTGGTGGATACTATAAGAAATACTTCTCTCTGACAACATTCATTTAACATCGAACATCCATTATTTTGTATAGCACAGTTATTTACTAAAGGTCGCATAGATTGGCTCAAGGACAGTCGTATGGTGCATCGACTGAGATTTGTTCTTGCTGCACTATTTTTTGAGACTAACTTTCTTGCGATTCAATAATCCTATGATACGAAACTGCTGATAAAGTAGTCGGTAAATCATATCATTTCGACAAGAAGAAATCGCGCTCTTGTAAACACTTAATAAAATGAACCTTATTTGGCATATGGTCGTTGTTGTCAAATGACCAGTTAAGAGCAAACTCTCTTTTTTTTTTATGTGCCATGTCCTTTCAGAATGTAGGCGATCATGGCTCTCCACCTCCCTCTATCCCTTGCAGCTCTCAACAAGTTCCTTCCCTCTGCTTCTTCCTCCAGACCACGTTCTATCATCCACTTGCTTAAGTCTGCCAGGTATGTCACGCGTTGTTTTCTCTTGTCTCTCTTTCCCTTTATTCAACCTGTGAGTATCAGATTCTCCAGGCGTCTTCTTCCTTATTATGTGCCCCAGAAACTTCAGCTGCCTCTTCCTGATATTAAGTATAAGCCTAATCCTTCTTTGCAACCTTTCCAAGATCTCATCGTTGCTCACACGCTCGTTCCATGATACCATTTGCATCCTTCTGTAGAACTACGTCTCCGTCGCCTCAAATCCCTTCTTCATCTTTGAGGAAATCGTCCAACATTCCGCCCGGGACGATTGTGACATACGGCTCGTGAGCAAACTCCATTATTTATATATACGAAATGTAATTCCCGAGAGAAATTTATGGTGTGAGATATCCTTTTTTTTAATATATGTTCACAAAATACAAGTGCCACTCAAGGTAGAGTGTTACTGAGTGTATATATTTAGAAGTATGGATTAAATGTATTTTATGAAGATATGTTGCATCGATAATGATCGTTCCAAAAGGTAGTGGTTCTCGGGAATCATTTGCTTGAGTGTAACTGATTTACTATCAATAGAATACGTACGCAATGAGGATAATTTGACCCTCGGTACGGTGAATTGAATGTTATAGTTGTAAAGGCATGAACTCGTTGTATTAAAGAATGTAGCTCCTCTGAACATTTGTTGTAGAAATAGTGATAGAGTAGCGAGACCTTTACGGTGTTTCGTCGTCTCATGAAGAGGATCTAAGATTGAAAATAATCAACTCCACGACTAAATAAACTTTTCTCAAATTTGAATAGGCTGAAAAGTTAGCATTTGGCAGCTCCAGGCCAGATATGGTACTATTAGGTTGGTGCAAACATAATGACGTAATAACGTTGTTTTTTGACGTATTTTTAACGTTTAAAAACGACATTATTACGTCATTATTTTTCCACCAACCTAATAAAACTCCATTTTGGGTCTGATCTGTCTCTTGTCAAAATAGAGAATCCCACTTGAGATCTGGGTTAAATTTGTTGACTTCGCTGATTATTGACTTGAAGGGGAATATAAGATTTGCATTTTAGTATATTGTTTCCAGGATATTATTTTAATATTTTCAAAAGAGGGCCGAGGAAATCTTAAACAGGAAATCATTTCCACCGCAGCAACACTTTTGGCTATATGAGAAATATTGCGAGAATTTCGATAAGATGGCCTTATACATCCATCTTACATTTCTGACTTAGTAACGTTTAACCATTTCTTACTTTCTGAACATAAAAACATGGAAAACATATCCATTTTGAAACTATTATGTCGTAAATAAAATGCTGCTTTGACGTTGTTAAACTCTCAGCGACCTCAGTTCTTCCAGTTTTGTGTCAGTGAGGAGGCACGGTCGAGTACTGGACAGTGGCTCGGATTGAGGAATCAGAAACAAGTCCAATCCATTACATTTACTTACGTACTTGGGAAAGGTACGGATCCTCTTCTTCTCTCCCCAGTCGGTAAATAGCTGGACAGAACGGGTTCTTTAGCCTTTGATGGCAACTGGTATACCGCAAAAAAAAAATAAGAACTTATTGCGGGAAAAAATTCTCCTACGTCAGTCATCTATCTAAAGATATATGATACATGACTGACGAGGCAGATTTTTTTCCCGCGGTAGGATGTCATTTGTTTCTGCGGTAGACCAGTTGTCATCTAAGGCTATAGGACCCGGTCTAATTACCCATAGCTGGGGGGAGAAGAAGAGAATTCATACCTTTGCCAAGGGTATTAGCATGTAAGTTAATGTAATTGATTCGACTGGAATTCGAACTTGGTTCTCTGATACCTTAATCCATGCCGTTATCCATTACTCCATCTTGACTCCAATCACACCTATAGGATCAATATTGAGAAATTAATTAGCCAAGAAGACAAATTATGAGACATCTGAGATGGGTAAATCATTCAATGGATTGATAAGTTTTTCATTAACTGAATTATGATCTGATATTTTCCCTATATAATCTTCATTCTCTATCGCATAATATAAACCGCTTAATTAAATGTATTATCAGTCTAAGGGAGTCAGTTGTATATCATTTTCTGTTTGCAGTGGCCGTGTAAATAGGTTTGTTTTGTTTTGCTTTACAGCATATAAATCACAATGGGTTATTTAATGCCGACAATTTTTTATTGTTGGTAATATTTTTTTTCCTTCAAAAATGCATAGATGGTATATTCTTTTCAAAAATTTATTGCTGGTAATAATTTTTTACGAAGTATTTCTGGTAGTTTATATATATATATATATATATATATATATATATATATATGTGTGTGTGTGTGTGTGTGTGTGTGTGTGTGTGTGTGTTTGAACATTATTTGAATCCTTCATGAGCTTCCAAACCTTAGCTATGATTAATTAATGATGAACATATTATTTTCGTTTATGATCGATTTCATCTCGATTCTTCTGTTAATCTTGGTGAGTAATTATATATTCTTATTGCTCAAAGTAGATTCCAGTAGTGTTATAAGAACATCGGAGAATTCCAGTAAGATATCTTTAACCTTTGCTAAGCTACAACGGATCCAATCTTAATCTAACAATTGGACAATTTTGTCGTTATATCAGGTATATACATATATATCGTTATCTCATTAATGAAAAAATATGTAACAAAATAGCTTAAAATGCATGTTTGCATGCAAAGACAATTTAATGATAACTATCAACTAATTTGGTTGTTTTTAATTGTAATGTGTGCGTGGACCCAGAAAACAAAGATCTTAATGGTTTTATTGATGTGAAATAAATCTGATTGAAAATAACAGTTTAATTATAAGGTTAGATTAACTAAATTTCAGGTTTCTACTACAAAAGGGATTTAACAGCTTACTGCCGACTTATAAAAATTAATTCAACAACAATAAAAATGCTGTATCGCTAATTTTACCAAGGTCCAGACATTTTGATCGCGTGATTAGATATGCCTATAACATAAAGGAAGGAAATAAAACGGTTGCGTTATCTTTTAAGATCAGGATGCATTCAGGAGGTGTGAGAGTTGATTATAATCAGTTAGCTTTTGTGCCTACTTTACCCCTTTTTTTCTTCTCTCTAGCTTCGAGACTCGTTTTCTCTTATGAGAGAATTTATGACTTCGGGGTTTTTATTTCCCAAGGCGAGTGACTTTTTTTTTTTTCGTTCATTTCATCTTTTACTGGCGGCTTTAGATAACAAATGGACTAACTCACACCTCGGGCAACAATTCAATTGGTTTTGCTCTGCGAAAAAAAAAAAAAAAGCAACGAATACGCCTCCCACTTAAGCGTTATTTTATCACTCTAAACATCGAGTCACTGTTTCTCTTGGAGGAATTCGGCCGACAGAAATAGACGTTTGTCAGCAAAGGAAACAAGCAGAATTTTATGGGGAAAATTTGATTCAGAAAGAAACATGATTTCGAGCAATATTTAATCATGATCGTTATTTAACAATGTCAGTGCTTGTTAGAAATGACTTGAAAGATTTCGTAGAAAAGAAATAGTTTTCTCGAGGCAGAGAGCCATAGAAAGAAGTCATGTTCATCTAAATTCAGCAAAAATATAAAGCAGGAAGCTAACACGGGAGAAAGACAAAGGCACACTTGAAATTACCTTGAATATTATGAATATCGATTACTTTTCAAGAGAAAAAAATCGATCACGAATTGATTCAATAAGACTTACGAACACATTACGAAGAAAACACCGATTCCCATACGATCGCCGAAATTAAGCAACATTGATCGTAATCAGTACCTGGATGAGTGACTGCTTGAGAATATCAGGTGCGGATTTGATAATGGTTAAGAATTGTAAATCGATTAAGATATTTCCAATTCCCGTTAGGCAATTTATATTCACTTACACGAAAATATTCATAGGGAAGATATGAATCAACCTCATCTCCCCCAGGTTTGGGTTAATTAGTAAGACTTATATCCATTATTAGCTCAAAAAAATTATTGAAATCTATAAAATATTTTCTGGTTTTAAGTAACCTGCAAGGGGTATGAATCTACCTCTTCTCCCCACAGCTATGGGTTAATTAATAAGACTTATATTCATTGTTATCTCAAAAAAAATATTGCTATCTATAAAATAATTTCTGGTTTTAAATAACCTGCAAAGGGTTGCTAACCCGTAAAAAACGAAAAAAAATCCATGAATGACGCAATAAATTGGAAATGGAATTCGGTGGGTGGATACCAAATCCGCAGCTTACGATTAAAATATGCAAGGAGAATGGCACATATTTCTTCTTTTTTTTTTGCATACTCTACTTAAATTTCAAATTTATCTATTCACAAGAAAATACTCAGTTATTCCCCCGCCTATAGAACTCCTTTTTCAAACTACCCCTTTCTAAATATCTAAAAGTTTAAGAATTGTTAAGCTGAGGTAACAAGAACGAAATGTAAAATATTTACCAATGATTCGGACGCTAAACTGTAAATTTAATCATATAATAGTAAATATAATGCCATTCGATATTTGCTTGAAGTATTTATTTGAGGCGAACAGAAAATAATATAATTGTAATTTCTTCAAACGAGATTATAATATGAGTCTTTGTAAGGATATTCCCTATAGGACTGGCGCTACAGTATCATTAACAAACAACTGTATTAATTAATAAAAATCAAATAATTTGCCGATCTTAACAGTAACAACTACAATTGATAGCATATATAATCCGAAGAGAAAACGATGATATAATGAAGATGATAACATCAATAATGGAGAAAAAGTAACAGTGAACTTGTAAAACCTATTTTCCAGGATTTAATTTTAATTCAAAGAGATTATAAACAATAATCGACAGTAGCAAAGGATTCTCAGGCAATTAATATCAAATGTTTCCTTACAAGGAAATGGTTAATATCATCATTACCATAATGCAATTATTTCTTGTATATATTACTATCTCTTTCTTTCTTGCTCTCTCTCTCTCTCTGTATGTATATATATATATATATATATATATATATATATATATATATATATATATATATATATATTAAGAGATGGTAATTTTTTGCCTTATTATTCACCGAATTTAATTAAACTTTTTATACCTCGAATTTCATTAAGCGGCCTGTACTAGTTTTTTAAGCTTGAATTTTATAAGCTGGCTTGTTCCTTTTTTATTCCACGTTATTCTTTAACCAATCTCATGATTTTTATTCCTCGAATTTCATTAAGAGGCCTACTCATCTTTGTTGCACGAATCTTATTAACTGACCTACACCTTTTTTATTCCTCGAATTTCATTAACCGAACTCCACTTTTTTAGTCAACGGGTCAAATTATTTTTGAATTCTCGAATTTCATTAACCAGCCTACTCATTTTTTTTACTCCTCGAATTTCATTAACCGGCCTACTCATTTTTTTTTTATTCATCGAATTTTCTTAACCAGCCTACTCATTTTTTATTCCTCGAATTTCATTAACCGGCCTACTCATTTTATTTATTCCTCGAATTTCCTTAACCAGCCTACTCATTTTTTATTCCTCGAATTTCATTAACCGGCCTACTCATTTTTTTATTCCTCGAATTTCCTTAACCAGCCTACTCATTTTTTATTCCTCGAATTTCATTAACCGGCCAACTCATTTTTTTTATTCTTCGAATTTCCTTAACCGGCCTACTCATTTTTTATTCCTCGAATTTCATTAACCGGCCTACTCATTTTTTTATTCCTCGAATTTCCTTAACCAGCCTACTCATTTTTTATTCCTCGAATTTCATTAACCGGCCAACTCATTTTTTTATTCCTCAATTTCCTTAACCGGCCTACTCATTTTTTTATTCCTCGAATTTCATTAATCGGCCTACTCATTTTTTTTTCCTCAATTTCCTTAACCAGCCTACTCATTTTTTATTCCTCGAATTTCATTAACCGGCCAACTCATTTTTTTTATTCCTCGAATTTCCTTAACCGGTCTACTCATTTTTTATTCCTCGAATTTCATTAATCGGCCTACTCATTTTTTTATTCCTCGAATTCCTTAACCAGCCTACTCATTTTTTATTCCTCGAATTTCATTAATCGGCCTACTCATTTTTTTTTTATTCCTCGAATTTCCTTAACCAGCCTACTCATTTTTTTCCTCAATTTCATTAACCGGCCTACTCATTTTTTTATTCCTCGAATTTTAACCGGCCTACTCATTTTTTATTCCTCGAATTTCATTAATCGGCCTACTCATTTTTTTTATTCCTCGAATTTCCTTAACCAGCCTACTCATTTTTTATTCCTCGAATTTCATTAACCACAACTCATTTTTTTTTATTCCTCGAATTTCCTTAACCGGCCTACTCATTTTTTTATTCCTCGAATTTCATTAATCGGCCTACTCATTTTTTTTATTCCTCGAATTTCCTTAACCGGCCTACTCATTTTTTATTCCTCGAATTTCATTAATCGGCCTACTCATTTTTTTATTCCTCGAATTTCCTTAACCAGCCTACTCATTTTTTATTCCTCGAATTTCATTAACCGGCCTACTCATTTTTTTATTCCTCGAATTTCCTTAACCAGCCTACTCATTTTTTATTCCTCGAATTTCATTAACCGGCCTACTCATTTTTTTTTATTCCTCGATTTTCCTTAACCAACCTACTCATTTTTTATTCCTCGAATTTCATTAACCGGCCTACTCATTTTTTTATTCCTCGAATTTCCTTAACCGGATTCCACTTTTTTAGTCCACGATCCTAATTCTTTTTGAGTCCTCGAATTTCATTAAACGGCATATTCATTTCTTATTGCTCGAATTTCATTCACAAGCCTACTCATTTTATACTCCTCGAATTACATTAACCGGCTTACTCCTTTTTTTACTGCTTTAATTTCATTAACCACCGTCCTCTTTTTTTTAATCCTCTAATTTCCTCAAAATTCATTAAACGGACTCCACATTTTTTTAATCCAGCGGCCTAATTCTTTTTGAGTACTCTAATTTCATTATCCGGGTTGTTCATTTCTTATTACTCGAATTTTATTAACCGGCCTACATCTTTTTTATTCCTTGAATTTTATTAACCGGCCTACGCCTTTTTTATTACTCGAATTTCATCAATCAGCCTATTCATTTTTTATTTCTCGAATTTCCTTAACCGGCCTACACCTTTTTTATTCCTCGAATTTCCTTAACCGGCCTACTCATTTTTCCTCGAATTTCTTTAACCAGCCTACTCATTTTTTATTCCTCGAATTTCTTTAACCAGCCTACTCATTTTTTCCTCGAATTTCTTTAACCAGCCTACTCATTTTTTATTGCTCGAATTTCCTTAACCGGCCGACTCATTTTTCCTCGAAATTCTTTAACCAGCCTACTCATTTTTTATTGCTCGAATTTTATTAGCTCTCCTACAACTTTTTTATTCCTCAAATTTCATTAACTTGACTACACCTTTTTTATTCCTCGAATTTCATTAACGGGTCCATATTTGTTATCACTTTGTTGTCTTTTTTTTATTCCTCGAATTTCTTTTAACCAGCCTATTAAATACACACATTATAAGAAGCACACGTAGGCTGTCTTTTGTTTCAGTTATATATATATATATATATATATATATATATATATATATATATATATATATATATATATATATCGAATTCGACGTATGAGGGTGAAGCAGATCAATTCCCGACAACACCACATGAGAATTGATTATAGTGATGAAGTTTTCGTGCAGGACCATCCACACTTTTTGAAGGGCCGATTACAGAGACCTGGTGCACTACGTGCCACAAGGTCCCCAAAAGACCCCCCGCAGGTTATGAGTTACAATCCAAGGCTATAAAACCCATAGCTGGAGGGAGAAGATTATTGTGTGTCCATCCATCTTTTCTTTTATCCTTTCCTCAAAAGCATGGCGAAAATCTAACGCAAGTTTTACTGAGGATAAGTGATTGAGAAGACTTTTGTGATGAGAAAGTACAATTAAAGGAAACGATTCCGGGAGAAAGAAGATGGCGATTGACGTGGCATATAATATCTTGAAGATCGTAAGGCCGCAGGGAAACAAGAAACCCGAAGAGAATTTCTCAGGCGAGTTGTACAAGAAAAGACATTATTAGAAAAGAGCTTACGGTCACATCTAGCTATTTCAACCGAGACCTATTTGGCAATCTATTAACGCGCTTAAATTCATACAGTCGAGATACAAACGAGGACATCTCCAAAAAACAACTGCCATTAAACTATTGATAGAAAAGTTAGAGGAAAGCCACGTTACGTTGTGGGATAGTAACAGATTTCGAGATGCTAGGTCAGGACCGATAACATTACTGATCCTTATTGGGATTTTAATCTATCTATCTATCTTGCTGTCAGTCTGTTTTTTCCATTATCAATCTAGCCTTTGTTTTCTGTTTTCGGCCAAAAATATATGTACGCATATAGACACATGGATTTGTAGAAAATTTCTTTTCATACCTTCGCATGTATACGGTAGAAATCGATACGTAATTTAGATCAGACAATGACCTGAACGAGATAGATGGTTGTAGATTAGAAAAGCCTGTAAGAAGTCATAAGTAACTGAGAGAGTATTTAACAATAAATCGAACAATTTAGACAATCACATTCGCAGTCAAATCCATATCCAAGCGTTGACTGACGGAATAATCCCCTAATAGTTTATAGTAAACAAAAGTTAAAACTTCACAACTTAAAAGAGGCTAACTTACCGCCTAAATTTCAACATGACAAATTCCACAGCGACTCCATTTGAAAACTGATAAACGTAGTCCAAATGAAAACAAATGCGAATTACAA